CTATAGGCTCTTTAGTGTCGCTCACCTCCATCTTCAACAATGGCCACTCTTGAGTAAAAAATCATCATTAAAGGGGAATAACTCTATCAAGAGTTAATTGACTATTTCAGACATGTTGGCATTTTTGAAGATGTTATCCAGCTGATAATTTTTCCTATCTAAAGTTTCTATTTATCCATTATAGTTTAGTTATCAAGATAATACGCAAAAAATACAAAAAAAATGTTAAAAATAATCATTAAAGGGCAACAACTCCAAAAATGAGTCGACTGAAGATTCGGCCATAATGGCTCATTTATGGATTCCGTCTTGCTGATCATTTGTGCTGTTTAAAGTTTCTATCTATCTATTACAGTTTTCAAGATAATAGGCAATATATGTCATCCTATCATTGTTTTATTTTTACTTTACGTTCTGTTTTTATAACTTAACATTTTACTGTTTCAAGTCATGACCAAACTACTTCAAATTTACATCGTGTAGTTTCAAGTCAACACATTGTATGATAAGCCTCTCTTGACGTCATAATGATATAACATCGTGCTATCTTTGCTCAACAACACGTACTTTCAACTGTACGTCGTGTAGTTTTGAATGAGCATATTGTATGGCAAGCCTATCGTGATATTATTATGATTTAACATCGTGCTATTATAGCTCAACATCACATACTTTCAACTGTACGTCGTGTAGTTTTAAATGAGCATATTGTGTGGTAAGCCTATCGTGACATTCAAATGATATAACAACATGCTATCTTAGCTTAACATCATCTAGTTTCAACTGAAAGTCATGTAGTTTTCAATGAGCATATCGTGTGGAAAGCCTATCGTGACATTCTAATTATATAACAACGTGCTATCTTAGCTTAGCATCACGTACTTTCAACTGTACGTTGTGTAGTTTAAAATGAGCAAATTGTATAATGAGCCTATTGTGACATAATGATATAACATCGTGCTATCGTAGCTTAACATTACGAAATTTCAACTGTACGTCGTGTACTTTAAAGTGAGTATCTTAGCTTAACACGTTGCATCGTGTTGTTTTAAGTCAACAAATTGTATGGTAAGCCTTTCGTTTCAATATAGTGGTGTAGCATCGTGTTATCTTAACTTAACATCATGTACTTTCAACTGTGCATCATGGTGTTTTAAATCAACAGATTGCATGATAGACCTATCGTAATATCACAATGATATAACATCGTATTATCTCAGCTCAATATTTATTAATAATAAGTCAGTACCATACATTTTAGCTATTCATTTTATTTGTTATCATAGCTATCGAAGTGGATGACTGAGCAGTATCCATCTGCAAGCTAACATCATGCAACGTCAACTTCACATATTGCATATTGTAATTTAGAGTTAGCATTTTGATTACTCAATTCAACATCACGCTGTCTTAACTTTACATTTTAAGCTTCAGCATAACGTTTTGTAAATCTCTAATATATGACAGCTGAGGCTTTCCATACTTTTGCTTTATGAATTTATGGAAAACATTCTTTATATATCATTTTGCCTCCAGAGTTAAATTTAATTAATATTCATCAACTTGCAAATGAAGAAGAAAAAATCCTGGGGATTTGTCCCTCATTCTTTTCCATAGAATTGCAGTTTCAATTCACATAATTCTGTAATGTTTTACGCATCGTTATTGTCTTTCAATTTAACATAAAACGATCTAATATTTGTACTATATTCGAAGCCTACACCAAAAATCTTCAATTCTGCACAAGTATATGTTTTCCTATCATTGTTTTAATTTGACTTTACTTTCTGTTTTCATAACATTTTATTGTTTCAAGTCAAGACCAAACTTCTTCAAATTTACATCGTGTATTTTCAAGTCAACACATTGTATAATAAGCCTCTCGTGACGTCATAATGATATAACATCGTGCTATCTTAGCTCAACAACACGTACTTTCAACTGTACGTCGTGTAGTTTTGAATGAGCATATTGTATGGCAAGCCTATCGTGATATTATTCAGATATAACATCGTGCTATCATAGCTCAACATCACATACTTTCAACTGTACGTTATGTAGTTTTAAATGAGCATATTGTATGGTAAGCCTATCGTGACATTCAAATGATATAACAACATGCTATCTTAGCATAACATCACCTAGTTTCAACTGAAAGTCATGTAGTTTTAAATGAGCATATCGTATGGTAAGCCTATCGTGACATTATAATGATAGAACGTACTTTCAACTGTATCCTGTAGTTTTAAATGAGCATATTGTATGGCAAGCCTATCGTGATATTATTATGATATAAGATATTGCTATCATAGCTCATCACCACATATTTTCAACCGTGTGTCGTGTAGTTTTAAACGAGCATATCGTGACATTCTAATGATATAGCAAAGTGCTATCTTAGCTTAACATCACATACTTTCAACTGTACGTTGTGTAGTTTTAAATGAGCAAATTGTATAAGAAGTCTATTGTGACATTATAATGATATAACATTGTGCTATCGTAGCTTAACATTACAAAATTTCAACTGTACGTTGTGTACTTTAAAGTGAGCATCTTAGCTTAACACGTTGCATCGTGTTGTTTTTAAGTCAACAAATTGTATGGTAAACCTTTCGTTTCAATATAGTGGTGTAGCATCATGTTATCTTACTAAACATTATGTACTTTCAACTGTGCATCATGGTGTTTTAAATCAACAGATTGCATGATAGACCAATCATAATATCACAATGATATAACATCGTACTATCTCAGCTCAACATTTATTAATAAGTCATCACCATACATTTTAGCTATTCGTTTTATTTGTTATCATAGCTATCGAAGTGGATGACTGAGCAGTATCCATCTGCAAGCTAACATCATGCAACGTCAACTTCACATCATGTACTTTAAACCTAATGTTACGTGTGTTTGGCATATCATCACAACATCATGACTTAATCATTATACTATCACGACTAAAGCACTCGTCATTGCAAGTCAACATTGCGCAGATTCAACTTAGTATATTGTAATTTAGAGTTAGCATTTTGATGACTCAATTCAACATCACACTGTCTTAACTTTAAGATTTTTTGCTATTGCACAATACTGTGCAATTGAAGATTTCTTCCTATCGCGCAATACTGTGCAATTGAAGATTTCTTGCTTTTGCCCAATACTGTGCTATTGTACAATACTGTGCAAGTGAAGATTTCTTGCTTTTGCCCAATACTGTGCACCCCACCCCCTTTTGGAGTAATTACCCCCAAACTCAATCCCAGCCTTCTCTTTATGGTATGGAACATTGTAGTATAATTTTAGAGATCCATACACTTAAACACAAGTTATTGTCTGGAAACTAGAAAAATGCTTGTTTTTGGCCCCTAATTCCTGAAAGTTTGGGGCAATTACCCCCCCCAACTAAATCCCAGCCTTCCCTTTGTGATATGGAACCTTGTGGTACAATTTCAGAGTGATCCATACACTTACACACAAATTATTGTCCGTAAACTACAAAAATGCTTGTTTTTGGCCCCTAATTTCTAAACTGTTGGTACCATCACCCCCAAAATCAATCCCAAGCTTCCTTTTGTGGTATTGAACCTTCTGGTAAAAATTCATAAGGAGATCCATTCATTTAAACAAAGCTATTGTCCGGAAACCAACTGTGTATTCAGAAGTGACGATGACAACATCAAAACATTAATTTTTTGCGGTCATATAAAAATGCTTATTTTAGACCCTTTTTGGCCCCTAATTCCTGAACAGTTTAGGTAATTACCCCAAAATGAATCCCAACCTTCTATTTGTGGTATTGAACCTTGTGGTACAATTTCAGAGCAATCAAAATACTTATACACAAGAGTGTTCTGAAACTAGAAAATGCTTGTTTTGGACCCTTTTGGCCCCTAATTCCTAAACGGTTGGGACCATCAACCCCAACCTTCCTTTTGTGGTATTGAACCTTTTGGTTAAATTTTATATAGAGATCCATACACTTAAACTAAAGTTATTGTCCGGAAACCAAATGTCTTCAGACGACAACGATGCCCTGATGGCAATCTACGACCGTGGTTGTATGAAAATCGTTGTTAAGGGCAAAATTTCAAAAAGGAAACGACTAATAATTTCGGTCATGTTGACTTGTTTGTAGATCTAGTCTTGCTGATCATTTTTGTTATTTCAAACTTTCTGTTTATCTATTATACTTTTCGAGATAATAGGCAAAAATTTAAAAAAAATAGTTAAATTCATCATCTAAGGGCAATAACTCCTACAAGAAGTCATCTGACAGTTTTGACATAAATAATCAATAGGTAGATCGCAACATTCTGAACATTTTGCCCTTATCAGATTTTTTCTATTCATATGGGGTTTTAAAATAATAGACAAAACTTGCATTTTACCCCTATGTTGTATTTTAACTATGTCAGCCATCTTGGTAGACGGGTGGGGTCATCGGACATTTTTTTAAAACTAGATACCCCAATGATGATTGTGGGCAAGTTTGGTTAAATTTAGCCCAGCAGTTTCCGAGGAAAAGATTTTGGTAAAAAATAAACAGACGACAGACAACAAGTGATGAGAAAAGCTCACTTGGCCGAAAGGGCAGGTGAGCTTAAACAGGAACCTAACTTTTTGTTGATCAGGAATGACCCCTGAAAGTAATTTAAGTGAAATTGTGAACTAGATTTGCGTATCCTTGTTCTAGTCCTCATATTTAAGCACTACATCAGTCAAATCAGACAATAACTGCCTAGCATGCGCAAGTCCTTCAAAGATGTATAGCTAGTAATATACGTCCTTGGTCCCTTGCTGTTACCCAAAATAAGGTTGAATTTCATCTCGCGCAAAAGTTACTGAAGCCCTCAAAATCCTAGCTAAAACCCTCAAGTACACTTAGTTTTTTATGTCGTGTCAGGAAGTACACTCATTCGACTTTGCCAGGTCAGGCAATACTCTCATTTGTTAAAATATATGATGTCAGGAAGTTCTGACTATCTCTATCAAAATAACTTGGATTTTTTTATTTATTTTATTCAGTCCCATTAATTTATTCTTTCTCTCCTCCTTTAACTGGCAGTTTCTTTGTACCTCGGATTCTTCCAGTACGACGGGCAGCAATAAGACCAACCTGTGAACAGAGATAAGAGTAATCATTATGAGTGAAACATTGGTTATTTATATCATAGTGTGAAAAGAGGTCAATAAATTGTTTATTCCGATATATTAATTGAACAAATCTGTAGCCTTGATATGTTTGAACAGACTCATGTTTTACATCAATAATTTATTTATGCAAGGAACAGGGTTATTAAGAAACAAAATCAGCCCCATAATATTTTATCTTCAGAAAGTATTTTTTTACTGATGTACACGATATATTTTGTAAGCCAAGTGAATTATTGGGAACTACATATTTATCATACTATACAACTAGAGACTTCAGGAGCCTAAATGGCTTATCTGGTAAAAATATGCCACATTGATATTAACGTAAAAAACCAAGACCCCCAAAAAAAACAGGTTACTCTAGATGATACTCTGGTTATAACGACATAAAGAGCTGTGCCATGAGCGCATGATACACCTGTCGCTATTTCAAAGAATAAAGTTCCATAACTCCTCAATGTCATCAGAACTTAATAAAATAAATGGGGAATGTGTCCATGGACACAGATGATGCCCCCGCTTGCATATCATATACAGTTATAAAGGGACATTACTGAAGAACAGTAAAAGTGACGCTACCCAAAATTGTACTTAATCTGAGTTTTGTAGTAATAAGTATTGTGTATAAGTCTCATAGCATTCGGTTGAGGCTAACTTAAATTAGAGAACAGAAACGAAAAATTCAGCCATTTTTCCATTTGTAAACAGGCATAACTCTAGAACGGTAAAAGTGACACCAACAAAATTCAAACTTGATCTGTATTATGTGGTAATAAGCATTGAGTATACATCTCATAACATTTGGTTGAGGCAAACTCAAGTTAGAAAACAGAAACAAAAAATTCAGCAATTTGTCCATTTGTAAAGGGGCATAACTCGAGAACGGTTATAGTGACGCCACCAAAATTCAAACTTAATCTGTGTTTTGTGGTAAAAAGCATTGTGTATAAGTTTCATAACATTTCGTTGAGGCATACTAAAGTTAGAGAACAGAAACCAACTTTGGGACGTACGAACAGACATATGTACAGACGGACAAGGGTAAAACTTAATGCCCCCTCCGCTACGGCGGGAGCATAAAAAGTAAAGGGAGGTTATTTTAATAGATATACACCAGTCACTGAAGTTTCAAGAAAACTACTCAAAGCACTTTGGAGTTATTGTCTGAATACTTGAAAATCAACCCTTTTTTATGAATAAAATCCCATATAAAAATCGAAAGGGAGCTTACGTCAATAGATATAAACAATTTGCCAAAGTTTCATGAAAACTGCTCAAAGCATTTTTGAGTTATTGTCCGATAACTGGAAAATTCCCCTTTTTTAATGAATAAAACCCATAACTCGGAAACGTAAAATCTAAAAACATAAAAATCAAAAGGGAGCTCACATCAATATATATAAACAAGTCACCAAAGTTTCTTGCAAATTGGTTAAAGCGTTTTTGAGGTATTGTCCGACATGTTGATGACAGACAGAGAGACAATGGTATACCATAATACGTCCCTTAAACGGGTGTATAAAAACACTACTGAACTACATTAACAATATAAAGCTTCACTACAAGTGAAATTTCTCCTTACCTTTCTACCAGCTGATGTGTCTCTTCTTACTGTTGAGGCTTTACCAATATGTTGATGGTTACCACCACCATGGGGATGTTCAACGGGCTACAAATACAATAGAAGAATGATTGTAACTTACATTCCCATTTTAAATGTATCAGAAATTTTTAGTCTCAGGTTTAAACCATTAACAAAGTAAAAATCTAATCATTTCCTAGTTGTCAAGAGATGCAAAAAATCAGATGCAAATGCAGGTTGTATTGTAACACTTCTGTATCCTCCTTTTATACTATTTAGAGATTATATGGTTTTCATAGGAATTAATCAATTTTAAATCTACTAACAGTAAATATTATTTAGACTTCTCAACCTTACATCTACTAAATGGAGGATGGCAAAACTTAGCATGTATGTTGGCTTCAAATGGCCTACACAGAGGCAGTGTTACATGTAGCTGTAAATATACATACGTTCATAGCCACACCACGAACTTTAGGCCAGCAGTTTCTCTTTGCCTTGTATTTGAAGTATGCACGACCAGCCTTTAACATGGGTTTGTCAATACGTCCACCACCAGATACAATTCCTACAATTAATAACAACTTTTTATGACTTCTATCAGAGTAATTAATACATTTTTCTTAACAAGATTATGCATCCATATGACACCATGTCCCACTGTCAAGATCTTAATTCCATGGTTAGAAATCTGGGTCAAAACTTGAATTTTGTACATATTCTAAAAAGTTCACTTCATAATAAAACAAGTTTGATCACACATGGCTTTTAACCAAAACTTAACCTGATACAGGATGGGCAGACAAACCACAAATGCAGATCTGAGAACATAATGCACATCTACTATTACAGGCAGGGCATAAAAAGAATAATTTCCTTTATAAATATTCTCCCATATTAATTTTAATACTATTCACAAAGTTTTTAACTCCAACATGCATAGCAATTTTTGTTGATTGCAATTTATTTTTTAGAGCAAGTGTTTTCATATTTGTTTTAACAATGCGCTTTTCTTTTTGATTTCAAAAATCAGTATGGCTAACAAAATCCTGACCACCTAAAAAATTAATTCATTTCGACCCGAGTTAAACACCCCTCTATATAAAAGAAATAATTCAGAATAACTTTGATTCAGAAACTTTTTAAATTTTCATCACAAATGATTCAGGTCAAAGTGAAGAATATTTTTAATCATCATTTATCAAATCATATTCTGCTTTTTATTTAGTGAATTTTTTGTAAGACAGAGTCCTCATAACTAATATTAAACAGTACAACGGTTACGCCCAAGTACTTGCAATGGAAGACTCCTAGCAGACTTGCTGTGTTAAATGCTCAGATGTCCAGATAGTCTCAATATTAATCTACAACATGTCTGTTATTACAGAACAAGAGTTTGAATTTTGGGGCAATGGAAGATAAATATGTTTTAAAAAGAAATCCTGATTTGGTAGCATTTAAACTTGATGAAAAATAATTTTTGAAAAGTGGGGATGGATATGAAAAAGCAGTTAATGTATTTAAAGTTTTTTTCATGTTATTGTGAATTATTTATCTCAAAAAGGTTGTAGGGGTGGTGATGCTCAACATTTTAAAGATTTAATATATTTTGTTTTATTTGTCCTTGTCTCAATCAACACTTCGTGCTTTAAGACTTGTGATTATTTTTGGACCCTCATTTTGCTTTCCCCAAAAAGCGCATATAAGACAACAAAGAACATTCCAACAACACTACTGTATTCTTGTAGAAATCCTGAGGGGCAAGCTAAGTTTTACTTGTTATTATGGGCAGGTTAGTGAAAAAATATGAATTCCATCAGTTCACTCAATCTCCTTATATGACTTGTCAGGTCTGTAGCATGTTTGTTAATACAACAGAATATTGCACTTTCAAAACATGATTAAAATGACCTAGTGAACAAATGTGGAACAAAAAAAGTCTTAAACGCAAAAAATTCAAATCCTCAGGAATTCTCTCTTATCCTCTTTATAGGAATGGCCCACTGAGGAGTAAATGTATAGGTGGGGATCCATCCCTTGCTGGATTAGGACCTACTCGCCTATTAGAACTAACACCTGACTAAAGTAATAATGAGCCTGGCAAAGATCTAGTAAAGACAACTTTAAACTCCAAGCTCCCCTCTATTTCAGAAATGGGTAAGGCCAAATCCTATATTATAAATACAGGACTGTTAATCCTTCCAAGGAACATCAATATAAAACAAAACATTTTCAAATTAAAATAATGGTGACTGAGGACAACACATTAACATAATACCAGGAACTTTTTAACAAATGTTTTCTCAAGCTAAAATTGGACAGATTGCAATAACATTAGTTCACTGGACTGTACTGTCCTAAGAAACCTAGATGTCAAGAGCTTATTATTGTTGTTACTCAAGTAATTTCAATTTTATATAGCTTAAATTAAACCATTCCGCTATCTTAATAACTTATTCCATATGCATATAAAAGCAACCCATATAAGAGATGTGGAATGATTGTCAATGATTTAACTAAAAGCAAAGCTAAAGACCAAAGGACGAAAATGTAAACAACTAGACCATCCTAGCCACAACATGGCTGCAAAGATAGATGAGAATGAGAATCTGCTTCAGATACTTTTAGTGTGTTCATCACCTTTGATTCAGGTCAAAGTGAAGAATGTTTTTGTATTCATCATTTAGCAGTATTCATTATTATTTTCAGACATATATAAGAAATCAATTTATATCTGCTAACATTTAATAAACAGCTGCGTCCCAAGCGCATGATACGCCTGTCGTCTTGTGTGTGAGGTTTTATGCAATAATCATAAAACGTTTCTGAGATACGGCACGGCGTGAAACCCCCCCCCCCCCCCCTTTTTTTTATAAAAAAATCAATTATTCAAAAATAAAATTTTGAATCATCACCAAAAAGAATACAGATCTTTAGATTAATATAACTAAGAAGTGTGTAAAGTTTTAAGCAATAATCATAAAACTTTTTTGAGATAAGACGCGACATGTGAAAAAAGCACCCCACCCCCTGCTTTAGTTACAAAGTCCCGTAACTCAAAAAGTTTTAATCTTATTTTCACCAAAAAGTATTCAGATCGTTTGACCATCATAAGAAACAACTATGTGAAGTTTCATGAAATTTGGATAAGTCGTTCTCAAGTTACGGTGCGACATGTGGACACCGGCCATTTGTATACCATAATACGTCCCGTCAAAATTTTTGATGGGCGTATAAAAAATGTAGGTAAGTGACAAAAGTCGTTCTATATAGAAGTAAAGTTATGTTCAGGTAAGTGTGCAATTATAAACAATTAATTTTGAAAAAGATTGACATAAAATCTTTTGAATATATTTTGCATTTTAAACCCATGTATATACCTACCAACCATAGCTCTGTTTGCTGATGGGATAACTTTTTTGGCGCCTGATGGCAGTTTTACCCTTGACTTCTTGGTATCTGGGTTATGTGAGATTACTGTGGCATAGCCACCTGAAGCTTTGGCCAATCGTCCTCGGTCACCTGTTTTCTCTTCCAGTGAGCATACAATGGTTCCTTCTGGCATCACACCAACTGGTAAAATATTGCCAATCTGGAGAGAGGCTGCAAAATCATTAAAAAATGAAACTGACTGCAGTCAATCATATTTCCATCAAAGCTTATTATCAATTAATATTAATGCTAAATTTGTACAGTTGTGTAATGTGACAAGACCCTTCATCAACTTCAATTGCTGACCTTACAACTAAAATCAGAAGACATTATCAATGATTTGATTTCAATCTGAAAATATTAGAAAAATATAATAGTTTGCCATGAAATCTGTTTGGATGCAGTTTTAAGTAACCTTTATTTCCATTCTCAATTTTATTTATAGCTATCTTATGACAAAGATTGACAGTGAATAAAAGGGCAAGAGAATAATAATGTTGTGAAAACATACATGTGCTGTATTATTGGCAGGCCAGGAAAACTACCAAAATTTGATGCACGATTAAAAAAATATTAGCTTGAAATCCAAAATACACCATAAATTTAGTTTATGACCAGTGATATTCACTGGTAAAATCAAAATCAAGGTTTCCTCCCCTTATATGTCTAAAATACTAGAGTTGTGTTCATAAAGTATCATTATCTATTCGTGTAGAATTGAGATAAATACTACTATTAATACATTGCAACTTCAAAATAGTCTTCTCACAAAACAATTTTATAAGATGGGGTCACACCCAGAAAATATATTGGTTAATTCAGAAATTTAATTAGAATTTATATCAAAGATTATGTGTTTTTAGTTAAATGAACTATCTATTGTATTTTAATAGATTATTAATATTGTTAAAAAACCTTTTTTGCCACAATAAACAAATTGCCCAGTGTACATTCCTTCGGCTGCTACAAAGGTCTCTGTTCTTTGTTTAAATCTATATGGATCTCTGAATACCACTTTAGCAAGAGGAGCACCACGACCTGAGTCATGTATAATGTCCTAAAAAACATAAAATCTTGTTCATTTTTAGGTACATGGTACACAATATGTACTTAGCAATAATACGAAACTTAAAAGCAACCACACAGGAAAAACAGCAATTGGCACACTGCTAATATTTCTGCTAAATCATGAAACAAGGATAACTGTTTCCTTCATTATGTCTCATTAGAACTGATATAAAATTGCAAGTCTCTAACTGCTAATCATGTATAGATAAAAAAAACTAGAGGCTCTCAAGAGCCTGTGTCGCTCACCTGTATTTACTAATGCTTTGGAAATCATGTTAAATAAGGTTAAAATCATAATTAATAGTATTAGATATTAGATATTCAGAGTTCGCGAAAACTTATTTTGACCCGTCGGTCATGGGACCGACAAGGCATGATTATTTGTCAGTCCTACAAAATTTTAGCCAGTCCTACAAAATCTCTCAATTTTACCCTGAAAAAAAACTGATACATATTTTATCGAAAAATAACTTTATTAATATTAGTTTTATTCTTCGCACCCACAGGCAAATTAACAATGAAAAACCAGTTCAGGTCTTCTGATTGTTCTTATTTAAAGTCATCTTCACTATCCATTTCATCATCTGAATCACTTTCTCCGCTGTTACAGTATTTGTTTGCTCCATTGTAGGGTTCAATCGCCGATTGTTTGCCAGGGATGGCTCTATGGACAAATTAAGTAGGCCACGTGTAGATCGCCGCTTTGGTTTGTTTATAATAAATCCGTAAACCAGTACCGGAAATTGGCAGCGGATACATCTGATAACCGATGTAAGCACTTATTGGAAACAGTTGCGGTACATCTAATAACCGATGTAAAAAAGTGCCGAAATATGCACTACAACGGCCGTTTTTACATCGGTCATTGGGACCGGCACTAGCCTTCAAAATACTGGTCCGAGCCTCATTTTGACCGACAGGACCGACCATTTTCGTGAACTCTGGATATTATAATGATATATAAGATAATAACAAATAAAATGCTCCGCAGGGCGCAGCTTGATACGACCGCAGAGGTCGAACCCTGAACAGTTGGGGCAAGTATGGACACAACATTCAAGCTTGATACAGCTCTGAATTTGGATTGTGATTAAATATTTGACACAGCATAGGTTTCTGACACAGAATAAATGTGGTCTAAGAACTTAAAAATTTTAAATTGGACATTCACCTATTATGGTCCAATATCCAAAATCTAAATACATGGTTAGATTCAGCATATCAAAGAACCCCAAGAATTCAATTTTTGATGAAATCAAACAAAGTTTAATTTTGGACCCTTTTGACCTCAATGTGGACAAAGTTGATAACGGGGCCCAAAAATCAAATATCTAAATACATGGTTAAATTCAGCATATCAAAGAACCCCATACATTCAATTTTTGTTGAAATCAAACAAAGTTTAATTTTGGACCCCGATTTGGACCAACTTGAAAACTGGGCCCATAATCAAAAATCTAAATACATGTTTAGATTCAGCATATCAAAGAACCCTAAGAATTCAATTTTTGTTAAAATCAAACTAAGTTTAATTTTGGACCCTTTGGACCTTAATGTAGACCAATTTGAAAACGGAACCAAAAATTAAGAATCTAAATACACGGTTAGATTCGGCATATCAAAGAACCCCAATAATTCAATTTTTGATGAAACCAAACAAAGTTAAATTTTGGACCCTTTGGACCTCAATGTGGACCAATTTAAAAACGGGGCCCAAAATCCAAAAACTTAATACACGGTTAGATTCAGCATATTAAAGAACCCCAAGAATTCAAGAATAAAACCCCATTGAAATTGATCAAGAAATAAGCAATTTATACGAAGTATCTTCTTTTGCACAATACTGTGCAATTGAATATTTCTTGCTATTGCGCAATACTGTACAATTGACAATTTCTTGCTATTGCGCAATATTGTGCTATTGGATATTTCTTGCTATTGCGCAATACTGTGCAATTGAAGATTTCTTGCTATTGTGCAATACTGTGCAATTGAAAATTTCTTGCTATTGTACAATACTTATTATATAATAATTTACACATCCTGTTTGGTGTGTATCTCCTACCATATCATTATTATTTGCTTTTAAATATTAATCAGAAATAACCAACTTAAAATGGAAAATTTAAAAAAAAAAAAAAAATGAAAAAAATAAAAAAAAAGTAAAAAAAAAATCCCCCCCCTTCCAAATTTTTTGAACCCCCTTATGATTCATCACCCCCAAACTCAATCCCAGCCTTCCCTTTGTGGTATGGTACCTTGCAGTACAATTTCAGAGAGATCCATACACTTGAACACAAGTTATTGTCTGGAAACTAGAAAAATGCTTATTTTTGGCCCCCAATTCCTTAACGTTTCGGGCAATTACCCCCAAACTCAATTCCAGCTTTCCCTTTGTGATATGGAACCTTGTAGTACAATTTCAGAAATATCCAAACACTTACACACAAGTTATTGTCATGAAACTAGAAAAATGCTTGTTTTTTGCCCCTTTTTTGGCCCCTAATTCCTAAAATTTTAAGGCAATTGCCCCCAAAATCAATTAAGCCTTTCCTTTGTGATATGGAACCTTGTGGTACAATGTCAGAGAGATCCATACACTTACACACAAGTTATTGTCTGGAAGTTACAAAAATGCTTATTTTTGGCCCCTAATTCCTTAACTGTTGGTACCATAACCCCCAAAATCAATCCCAACCTTCCTTTCGTGGTATTGAACCTTATGGTAAAATTTCATGGAGATCCATTCACTTAAACTAAAGTTAGAGTGCGAAAACTAATGTGTCTTCAGACGACGCCGACGCCAACGTCATACCAATATACGACCAAAAATTTTTTAATTTTTGCGGTCGTATAAAAACTGCAAACTTTTTGTAAAATTACTAACTCAGAGGCAGCAACCCAACAACGGGTTGTCGGATTCGTCTGAAAATTTCAGGGCAGATAAATCTAAATCTGATGAACATTTTTGCCACCTGTCAGATTTGCTCTAAATGCTTTAGTTTCAGATATAAACCAAAAACTGCATTTTACCCCTATGTTCTATTTCTAACCAAGTCGGCCATGATGGTTGGAAGGCGGGGTCATCGGACAAATTTTTTAAACTAGATACCCTAATAATGATTATGGCCAAGCATGGTTAAATTTGTCTCAGTAGTTTCAGAGAAGAAGATTTTTGTAAAAGATTACAAAAATTTACATAAAATTGTTAAAAATTGACTATTAAGGGCAATAACTCCTAAAGGGGTCGACTGACAATTTTGGTCATGAAACTTATTTGTAGATCTTACTTTGCTGAACATTATTGCTGTTTACAGTTTATCTCTATCTATAATAATATTCAAGATAATAACCAAAAACTGCAAAATTTCCTTAAAATTACCAATTCAGGGGCAGCAACCCAACAACAGGTTGTCAGATTTGTCTGAAAATTGTATGACAGATAGATCTTGACCTGATAATCAGTTTTACCCGTGTCAGATTTACTCTAAATGCTTTGGTTTCAGAGATATAAGCAAAAATCTACATTTTACCCCTATGTTCTATTTTTAGCCATGGCGGCCATCTTGGTTGGTTGGCGGGGTCATCGGACACATTTTTTAAACTAGATACCCTAATGATGATTGTGGCCAAGTTTGGTTAAATTTGGCCCAGTGGTTTCAGAGGAGAAGATTTTTGTAAAAAGCTTACGACGACGGACGCCAAGTGATGAGAAAAGCTCACTTGGCCCTTTGGGCCAGGTGAGCTAAAAAATCTATTCACTATACATGTAGCTCTCCTTTTCATCTTAAAAGTATATGAAAAGTACATTTTAGTTTTATTCCAGTGTATGAAACCTTTTTTTCCTTACTCGCCAAATTTGCAAGCAGCTTTTCATTTCAACTCGCCTAATTGAAATTCCACTTGCCAGCTTGGCGAGTGATTTACTTTTGGAACTCTCCGTCTTTTACATACATAATTATTAAAACATATTATTCCATTCCACTTACTAAATGCATGTACTTATGTTCATCATTTAAATCTATATATAACTGGTACATTTAACTTAACAATTTAAATTTCTATTTAAATATAGTAGTCTCATTTATCATAAGGGAGCAGTCAACTTATCTTGCAGAGTTCTCGAAATCTTTTTTTTACTGGTGGTCATTGGGACCACCAAGACTAAAAATCTGGTGGTCCTTGAGAAAATCTGGTGGTCCTGTAATTTTATTTGAATTTATCAAACACCTATTAGTTACATGAAAGTCATTGATCAATACTATATTAATTCCATCCTAGTTTCTATGTTATATGTTAGGTTTTTTTAATGAAAGTTTAAACTTTGCATTGTTCACTAATTTTTATACTTTGTCAGTTTGATAACATGCTTGATTTCATTTTTGTTTTATGTCTCATGCATTATACTACCTGTAGGGTCTATTAAGGGCTCATGTATAATGAAATTCAATCCTTTTTTAGCCCACCCAAATTCGTACTTGTTTTAAAAGCTAAACTCATAACAATCCTGCATTTTATTGGTCACTTTTGGTTGACGAATAATTAAAATTTTAAATAGTTAATATTAAAAGAAGTCCAAATTCATCATAAGAGCTGGTATTAAATTTCTTCCTAATGCTAATCCACTCATATTAAGAAACAATAAAAAATTGTAATAAAAATAATTTATCACTAGAACTGGTCCATAACATCTACTCAATGATGATCAAGTTGTATTTTAAAGTTATCAACAGTATTTGCAGACACAACAATTTGGGTAAACTGTTCCAATCGTTTATAAATCGTTAGTAAAAATGCCTTTAACGAAATGACGAATTACATCGAGGCTTTATTAGTTTAAAGCTGTGTCCACTGCAATCATTTACAGTGAAAAGTGCATTAAAATGATAGAAATAAAAGACTAAGTCTTGTAATATAGAAAAAATGTTCAGTCTCTGTAAAAGTCTTTGTTCAAATACAGAGTCCTCTGGTTTAGCACCCTCACTGATAGTCCGAGATTATTCTGACGTCGAACGGCTATTTTGCCAGACAAGCTGGGGCTGTGGGTCCGCCCCAACTTGTCTGGCAAAACAGCCGTTGCACGTCAGAGTCAGAGTAATCTTGGACTACCTCTCTGAACGAAATGGGCCATGCCGAAGCCATGATGACTTTTATGACTGGTTATTTATCAAAAGTATTACCGTAATTTTGAGCTATGCTACAAAAGTTAATTTACAGTAGTAACCAGTACAAAAACTATCTGAATACCAAAGAAACCGACGACTGGTTCTTTTTCAAAAGTATTACTGTAATTTTGAGCTATGTAGTTATTGTTTACATCAGCAACCAGTTCAAAAGCTATCTAAATACCGAAAAGATGTTAAAAAACAAAAGTGAACAACCACCAAAATGTTGTCGGTCATCAGGACTGACACTACACATGCAATTGTCGGTCCTAGCCGACTTTTGGCGGTCAGGACCGACAGTTTTCGAGAACACTGATCTTGTGATTACCTTAGGAGAGGGGTTTCAAAAACATTTTTACCACAACTGACAAGTCAAAAGTGTTTTTGTCATAACCAGACTTCCTTATTCCAATGATTATGGATAAATCTTAGTACTGTACAAATGCTGAAGTTATTGAGCAGCCTCTTCTACTAGAATTATTTTAAAAAACATGAATAATTACACTGTTCTGCACCAAAGGCCTTTTTATGTTTAGTTTCTGGTTTTGCTTTTTGTGTTTAGTTCCTTTTGTTTGTTTAAATTATTCAGCCTTAAAAACTATTCCATTTTGAAATTACTATTTCATAATTTGACTCCAGATTGAACTTGTTAAATATTCAGAATAGTATAAAAAATGGCTTTCAAATCTGGTCAACAAATACAATGCCCATCCTGTATTTTGCTTAAAATAAACATACCGTAGATACTCGCCTAATAGTCGATCCTACTATAAGTCGGGGGCCCTTTTCAGCTCCAAATTCTAAGGATTTAGTCTTGACCCTCGTATAAGTCGGACAAAATTTGGGCATTTTTTTTTTCAGCTGACAGTAACTGAACGCCGGTAAAACCAATGCAAATCCAGGAATAATATTCATTTCTGCATTAATGTTTGTTTGGTTTGAATTTAGTTGATGCTCATCATGATAATTTATATTGCTGTTAATAATAAAGATGTATTCATTTCTCTTGTTTTGTTCACTGTTCAAATGTTAGATTAGCCATGTGTTGTTTACATAATGCATCAATGATTTTGTAGGGTATGACTAATAACCTATCAGTGATATTGTTTGCCACAAATTACAGCCGAAATTCGGCTTTTTCCCCTAGAGAAAATTCCCAATTTCTAAAAAAAATGGCTTAAAATTCCTCCCAAAAAGTTTTACATTTTCCCCAAACAGTGATGGCATTGGTAGTAATGTTTGTAAATATCGTATTCATGTTATTATTTTGATATTAGAAAGCACTTTTGAGATCCGGTTTTCTGATCAGAATCATCATGGTGTTTGTGGGTTTCAATGCATTAAGTACCATCATTGCTTCTGTTTCTTTCCCCTCTCCGAAAAGTACCTTTCAGGTTGAAAATGTCTGACAATCAAAATATACATGAAAAAACAGTACAAAAAAGACAGCAAAGGTCAGAAAAAAATCGGAGATGTGTTTAGAATAAAATATACAAATTTCCCAATTTCATTAAAAAATATGCATTTTTCCCAATAAAAAACGGTAGAGGTAGTTTTGAAAAAAGACAACAATATCACTGCCTATTGTTTGAGAAAAGCGAATATAAACCAATATGAACCTGAAAAATTTAAAGTCAATCAACACTTGATGAAAATATTTTTAACAGCATACATAACTTGGTGTTAAATGAGCATGTACACTTCATAATTCTTATTATATTGTGATGATTAAAGGATTAAAAAAATTAAGTGAAGCTAATCAATATATTAAAATAACTAACTCCAACTCATTAGTGTCATCTGTTTACCTATCACTGATAGTTTTCACACCTTTAGTAAATACAACTCTTTGTCTCTTAATTGGGGTTATCAATGGATTATATTGGCTTGTCAATCAATTTTGTAATTTTTGTTTACCTGAGACACTTTAATGAATAATATTTTGATTTTGGGAATGAATCTTAAAATTATTTTTTGATTATTATATGATTTATAAGCATTGAATTGGTATCATGATATCACAATAATGACACAATAACTCCGTTGAAAACATCCTTTCACATATTTGGTACATTGTTATCTCCTTTTCATTTTTGGTTCTTGGCTCTTCTTTTGGGTTTATAGGAAAACCATGTGACCATGAAAATCAATACACAAACCGGAAACAGTAGAATTTCAACACGAATTTGCAGAAAATGTTTACCAAAGAACAAATAAAACACAAAGACAGTATTGTAGTCATTTATTGTCAACAAAAACTTTTTATTTATTGATTTATGTAGGTTTGGCAATCAAAAACGTAGTTTTGACCAGGAAATTCACTCCTGACCACTTTTCTCAAGCTTGGATTTTTCCTCTGGTCGCTAGATCTCGTCTATTAGTCGGTCCCCCTCTCTGGATTATGAATTTTACTCCCAATTTTCCGACTAATAAGCGAGTAGGAACGGTACATGGACAGGAAGGTAAAACAAATATTAAATGTTTTATTTGTAACTCACTGATACCCAACTGTATGCATAATACGTTTATTTTAGTCATGTCAAGAAATTAAAATCCGTGAGGTGGGGATCGTATAGTAGGTTTTAGCATGCTGTTTCAATGAAGTGTCAAGGTCATCATAATAATGTTTTAGTTTGCCAATTGCGATAAATAAACTGTTTAGGAGCTAGGGATATCATTTTTAATAACACTGCACATTGAAATTAGTTCAACAGACTTAAAATTCATGGACCTTTGACAATATAAGGCCTCACAACTGTCAAAATACTTCAACTGGCCAGAGAATTTTTTTCTGGCCAGTTGAAGTATTTTATATCACTCGCCACATTGGCGAGTTACCAAGTATCAGTGCTCGCCATATCCGTTTCTTACTCGCCTTTGGGGAGTTGGCGAGCGAAGGTTTCACACACTGTTATTCTATCAGTATAAAACTGGTTGGGCACCTGAAATTTCAACTGGACCCCAGAAAATACATTTTGGGGCCCAGCTATCTCCTGGAGAAAAAAAGTAAAGTCGAGTCCCTGCATTCATTCATGATAAACAAATATAATACAGAAAATGAAAATAGCAATATTATACAAGTTTAGCCCAGAGTTTGAATACCAGCATTCTAAATTTAGTATTACAAATACCTTGATACATCCTTTGATATAACCATGTCTTTCAGCAAAATCAACTGGTCTAAAAGCTGCTCTACCCTTTTTGTTTCTTGTGCGGGCCTTGAAAACACTTCCAGGCCCTTTTCTCTGGGACCTAATTACTCTTCCCATTATCTAAAAACAAGCAAATATTTATCACTAGTAAATATGACTCATGGAATATTGTTTATTTGAATAATGACAACCATGTTATTTATTCATATACAACTAAAACTGTCGTTTTGATTATTTGATAGCATGGCTACATTTGTATCATTGAAGGTCGGATTTTTTTTAAACTTTAAAAGAGATCCAGAAAGGCAAATATGTTTTCTTTTCAATTTTTACCTGCTTAAGGTGTATGAAAGTTTACTAGTCTGGGGAATCGGACTAGTGACTTACGATGTAGACTGCGCACATGCACTTATTTCTATCGGCATGGGAAGGTCGATAGAAACAAGTGCCTGTGAGACTGGTAGAAAATGAGGATTCTAATACACCTTATCGCTATTTGTCTGCCATTACTGGACATCACACAGGTTCTCGTAAAATTTTGACGTCATAATACAAAATATCTGACGCCTCAATGGAAAAGTGATTGTTGTATGACGTCAATAGTTCAAGCGGGACAGATTCTCGGGTCAGCCAGGAATAGCGATAAGGTGTATGGGGATTTGTTAGTAACTAGTTTGCAAATTATACCTATCTACTACCGTTATTATAATTTTACAATTTAATATTGCGTTCAGAAGAAAAGATTAGTATGAGTACGGTGTACTGTTTACGTAAACATAATAATAAACGAAGACCGTCAGTTACACCTATATAGCTATATACCATATCTGTATCTGTATAAGGAATTCCCTCCTTCAAAGGAGCACATCTTTTCAGAATCGGTTTAAAAGTTCACTATATATATTTACAGGACTATATTTACAGTGGTCTTGGGTATACAAAAAAGTAAAAATAATGCCCGTGGGGTGAATGTTGGCTACATTCAATGGCCCTTTCGTTTGCTTGACGGCAGAGCTTTCAAAAGTTCATTTCTTTTGGTATGTAAGGCATAGCAGAGTTTCCTATTTATGTACTCCACTTTGAAGCAGTTGTCAGTACATTTCAAGTCATTTGCATCTACAGTCACATGCGCATAATAATGTACTTGGGTCTAAAATAAGCTGTTTATTTATTACTAAGCTGGTTAGGTTAAAGCATTTAGCACAGTTTTTAATGGTACGAAGAAAGCAGTCTAATTCATGCAGGTATGGTATACGAGTATCATTCAGAGATACCTGCATGTTGTTTGGTTAGAAATGTGTTTAAATAACTTGGGTATTATCTTATTTTCAAAAAGAATACGTATAATTTGTATGAATATTGGTGTCAAGCGATGTTTTGTGAGGCAAAAGTCAGAGATGAAGATGGATTTCTAGCGATAATATTTCACTCACGGGTATCTAGTAAAAATATAGACCGGAAAAGGAAGTTGACGGTGACTGGTTTTCAAAGAACATTTTACAACCAAGGTACCAGATCAGTTTCACTAAGTACCTAAAATATTACTTTGGAAAAGTATAGACAACAATGTACATATTGATTAGTTCAGTTTCTTGTATGTTCCTCCATTAATTGTGGAGCACTACCCATAGGGTATAATTGAAGCTAATATATACACCTTAAAACATAAAGGAACATATAAACCTATGTACAGATAAGGGAATAAAGGCAATATTATTATTAATTCAAAGGATAGTCATTACAGTTTTAAAACATAGAATTAGTTAATCATAATAGTTATATTAAAGATAAGTGGGGAGAGTTTTTAGCAATTGTATGCCTGCATTCATCAAAAACAACAGAAGTGACATGAAAATCAATATGAAATTAACATTTGTGTTACCATACAATATATATGTATCTAGCTGATGTTACATGTGCCTGACACGCCTGAGATTTCAGTTCAGTAACTATACAGTTACGTATCTGTAGCCCCCTCTGTACTGTATGATATGATCTGTATGGATACGTTATGTATACGAATAATATTTTTTGATACAACGGTGGAGAGAGCGTCGGTACATGAGAGCAGTTTTGAAGCTCTCAACGCTCGGTGCGCGTAATACACTGTCTTCTGATTGTTCCATTCGATCACTATTTTGACAAAGAATCTGTATCTGCATCTGTATGAGTACATTGTGGATACCAATACTGGCTTTAAAACAGCGGTAGAGAGAGCGCCGTCGATTTATTGATGGTGCGCGAGAGCAGTTTTGAAGCTCTCAACGCTCAGTGCGCGCAGTACAGTGTCTTCAAGGTGGTTCCACTCGATAAATGTTTTCACGAAAAATAAGTTTTGAATATTGTGGTGTTTTGCTCTTTGGAATCTCAAAATATTTTGTTTTGTTCTTAACTTGTTTTTCCACAATGTTTATTTTCATGTAGTTGTCAAATTTCTTGGCAGTAATTGTTTTTTTTTACGTGCTTTTTTTTTAAATATTCGTCTGGTTATATAGCAGGAAATCGTGCGGTTCTAATAATGTCACATTTCTCATTTTTCTACGTTAACTGCCTTTTGTCATGCTTTCTCAAAATAGCAAATAGAATATGTCACCGTGTTGGATTCGGAGATAAATCGCAATAAATCCCAAAAATTGCGTCCAACCTTGATAACCTTAACGTTAGCGCGAAACTGCTCGACGTCGATGGCTGACAATTTCGAGGCATCTCGCCAATTGTAGTTGATAGGTTGTCGGTGTGGTTATCGGTGTCATTTTTTAGGTGTATATATATATGTATTGCTTATTTGGAGCTACCTTAAAATAATGATACTGTTTTCGGAAATTAAAAAAAATACGTATCATATATATATACCTCTCTATCTTTTATTCTGTTGTTAAGGAGTTTTAAATGTTAGTGATTACGACAATTGGACGTTACAAACCTCGGATTTACAAAATTTCTATATACACTTGTACTTTCTGGCATGCCTTGTCGTTTCATGATTATTATAAACGATTCATAAACTACAAATTAGTTCTAGAATTAATATTGATATGTTTTTTATATATATTTTATACCTAAAGTATAGAGTTTAGTGCTTTTCCTTTATCCCTGTATTTATTCTAACATTCGTTCATTTTTGTTCATTTATTTATTTTACTGTTGGAAATAAAGTTTGACAAAGAATGTGACCCGGTTTGAGGTAGACGTAAGAAAGATTGTTGAACCCCGCCATAGGTTCGTTATCCAAATGAGAATCATCTCGGATATAGTTATTGCGGACTCTTGAATTTCTTTACGGCTTAATTTTTAAGACTCGCGGCAATTTAGAGCTAGACATGCCGGCCCGGTTCTTTGTACACAATTGAGTATTGTTTAAGGTCTTATGCTGACCTCTATAGAAGTTGTTTTTTTTTAACTTTTTAGTTGGTGGGCTGCTGTTTCATTGACATACCCTCAAAACTCCTTTTATTCATACTTTAATCTTTTTCAAGAAATTCGCATACATTCATAAAAATCAAACTGTTATTCGGTTGAATGATTACAGTTTAAGAAAACTTTACAATGATTTTAATTTTTTCAAAATCTTTTATCTATCAAAATGATTTAATTTATATATGAAAAACGGGACATGTTACCTATACTTTCCCTATAACTTTTGTTTTGGTTTTTGCGTCCATTTTATTCATCTACCAAAATTACAACTTTTGAAAGCAAGCCACTCAAAACATTTATAATCTGGGTAAGTAAATGATCAGATGTACCACATAATGTTGCAGAAATCTCAAAGTGTAGGTGCTCGTAGCTGTGGTGATTTTCGTACAGATCTAAAGACCTTTTAAAAAAGGCCTTCAGTGTGTTATAACTTTTTGGAAAACTGGTCCAACCTCTTTCGGTTTTGTACTACTATATTGGCATGCTTTCTCTTCGTATATATATAATAACCAGCATGTTGGATAAAAGTTTCGGTTCAAATCAGAATACTTGCCTTATAGCGTAATTTTGTTTGTAAATAACTATATATATTGTCGAAATCCGGATATGGTGTACAAATTTCTGCACCTCATGTTTGCGGTATACCATCTTTTCCGCAAGTTTATTGTTTTTTGTTTGGTATTAAATTAATAATAAAGATCCATTTTTTTACATCTTGTGATCCGTTTATTTGGCAATCGCCAATGGCAGTAAGCAGGGTTTAAGAACATCCGTTGTTCGACCTGTTAGTCAAATGCGTTTTGTTTAAATATACTTTTTCACTTTTTTGGTCTTTTGGAAAATGTTGTTTGTGCTGTATTTAGACCCCTCTTCCAAGAAATTTGTTTTGCATGCACACGTATAAAAATTGCGGTTTTTATCCAACGCAATCATAGGTTTGAACGTTGTTTTCATTTAGACTTATTTATATTTTTTTGTTTGGTCTTGTATTATATTTGCCTTCGGGTTTATATGATCCGTTCATCCTATTTCGACTCTTCAGAATTCAAGAGTCTATCCTTAATTGAGGTAAATTATATGGCCTTCCAAATACCGTTTCGATTCCTAACATCACTGAAGAGACATCATAGGATTGAACGTTGTTTTCAATTTAGACTTAATTATATAAATAAATTGAATAAAATGTTCCATGACGAAATTTACTTCTTTTGAAGAGTTGATGTAATTAATTAATTAAATAATAAGGGATTTCAATAATTAAAAGTAAATTTTTACGCTATCTGAACTTTCGAAATGAGATTTTAAAGATCATTGACACAAATTGATTTTGACTTTTTGTAAGCTTGTAACTAAAAAGCGCTGTACAACTTTTTTCACACTGTCAGACTAACGGGTTGTCAGAAAATCGGATCCAAATCAAAATTCGGTCAGGGATGAATGATAATAAAAATGATAATTCGCATGCATTATGTTAACACCAAAAGGATCAGTCGTCTTGAGTTTGCTAAATGTACAATATTTTATTGACTTCATTGTTCAAGACCTTATAGAAACTTCAAGGCGTGGAAACAGCAGAAACAGTAATATGTGTTTAATTTCTTATGATTTCATTAGACGTTTATACGGAGGCGTATTAGCGCCACACAATTTTTTTATATTTCTTCCTATGTTTGCATTATAACGCAAACTTTTGCGAAATAACGCAAACATAGGACGAAATATAAGAAAAAATGTGTAGCGCTAATTCGCTTCCGTAGACGTTTGTCCCGTGTATTGTATATATATCCAAAATGTGCCAATCAAATGCACTAATCTCAAGAGCGGAGAAGTTGACGTGTGTGAGAAACATGAATTGGAGCATCGTTTTGCAAATATCGCTCAAGCGTGTTTTTTTTTATATTATGGAAAAATACATGCACGCATGACGTCCCGCCGAAAGTGACGTTTTTAGGGAATTCGAACAATATACGTCGCGCCAAGAGTCCGACCATTTGAGTATACGCGTATGGTCATGCCTGCCCGGTCCAAATACTCAAATGGTCCGGAACATATATACACGTATTTAAAATTTCATCTCGTACATGTGTCGTGTTAGACTAAACGACCTTATATAGTGAGCTATATAACGATTTTTTGCTAAACTATAATTGATACTGTCTCTGCTATATGTCTCTGCCGTCAGCAACTGCGCTCGGAGTACTCTTATTTATGTATATAACTTGTGTTCATGGTGGATAGTTGTCTTGTTGGCAATCATACTATATCTCCTAATTTAATATAATGTCTTTATGTTAGTTGGTTTTTTTGTTTTGTTTTTTTTTTTTTGTGCTTCGTACCGATCTATTGAGTTTAGCACTGACTTTTACAGTTTGGTCGTATGCCACATGCTGTTACACCACTGTCCTGGGTAGGGGGAGGATTGAGCACCCACAAACACGTTAATCCCGCCACATTCTTTATGTGCCTGTCTGAAGTCAGGGGCCTGTAATTCAGTGGTTGTCGTTGCATGGTTCAATGACGGCTTTATTTGTTTTTCGTAAATGGTATTCATAAATTAAACCGTTAGTTTTTCTCGTTTGACTTGTTTCACATTTCTCATATCGAGGCGTTTATAGCTGACTATACGGTATGGTTTTTCTCATTGTTGATGGCCTTACAGTAACCTATAATTGATAATATCCAATTCATTTGAACTCTGGTGGATTTTTGATTTTTTGATTTTTTGTGTTTTAACGCCACTTTTAAGCACCGCTTTTGGGCTATTTCGTGGCGGCCAGTTTTTATTGGTGGAGGAAGCCGGAATGCCCGGAGAAAACCACCGACATTCGATAGGAAAACTGACAATCCTAGTCAATTAAGATTGGAATCGAGTGCACCCGCACGAGCGGAGTTCGAACTCACAACCTCAGTGTTGACTGGCTAGTGATTACAGTAGTAACTACTTAGACCACTCGGCCACCGAGGCCCCTAACTCTGGTGGATAGTTGTCTCGTTGGCAATCATACAATATATCCTAATTTTAAATAATTTGATTGCTTAAATCATGTTATTTGGTCTCTGTTGGATAGCTGTCTCATATAGGGCAACCATGTCACATCTCCTT